AATGTGCAGGCATAGACAGAAAAGCCAAAAACCAAATTAGCTGTTTGTGTTCAAATAATTTTCTTTTGTGTCTCTGGATGTCAAGGGGTAAATGAACTAGACTTCTGTTTTTATCATGCTCTGATTCATTAGTCTTTATACGTGATCCATCTTGTGAATGATGATATGCTGTCTCCAGGAACATGGGCCAATATTTGCAGGATAAAGAGCTAAGATGGGGGGAGCAGGCTGGCGAGACTCTAGAAAGCAAGAAGGGAGAAGTAGGCTCTGAGGGCAAAAGGGTCGAGACAGGCATTTCTGAAGCCAAATGGTGTTGAAATAATATACCGTAGGCCATTTTCCTTGTCAGCATAATCCAATTGAGAATGCCCAACCGACCCTGATAAGAGTCACTCAGGAGTAAAGAGCTTCCCTACCAGAGAAAGCAGCTTATGTGTGCATTTTGGCTCAGGAATGTGCCAGCCCAATGCTGGCCAAATGAGTAAAAGGCTGCTGTGGGCTGGAGAACACAAGCCTTCTGGAAGGATGGTGGCTGTTCCCCCATAGGCTAGGAGGAGAATATTCCCTTCTCTCCAGGGCAGTGTTTGAGGCCACACACTGAGGCCTTTGAGACATAGATTATCAGAGAGGGTGGAAGCTCCACCATGAAAAGTGAAAACAGTGTCACCTCATCATCTGAGAAGTCAGGAGACTTGGGGGACTTCTGTAGAGTCTCAGATTAACATGCCAAACCGAAACATCTCTGTTTTAGTGTTGTAATATAGGGAGTTGAGCTCCCTATTCACTGGTGGTGGGCAGAGTATGAGCAGAACACCACCAAAACATCTCCAGAGGACTTCACTTTGCTTTGGGTTGAAGTGGTCTATGGGCTACTCCAGAAACAGTGTAACAATTCTTGTTGTAATTGTGTTATTAGGCACTGACTGGCCAGGAGGTAGGCCAGGATTTGATTTTAGAAGCAGGTGGCCTAGTCCTGGAAGTGTTCTTTCTCTGATAGAGGTGGGAAGGTTGGATTTCCCCACCTTGTACCCATTCCTTTTTTCTCTTCCCATCTTAGAACATGAACCAGTCACCTTCAGAGCACCCCTCTACCTGATCTGCACTCTGTTTACTGGACTGTTTGTGCCTTGAGGTTGACAGCCTTCCAGGGTGGGAATTTTGGCTGCTTGGCTGGGGTGTCAGATATCTCCTTGGTTGTGAAATTACTCAGCCTGTTTAGTATGGGCAGCATCATGGCACCTCTGCCCTGGAGATCTCAGGCAGCTCTTGCTCTTCTGAAGGAGATCCGACAATTGAACCTCAGCCCTGGCTTAATGAAGCAGTAATGTTGAATGGCTAGAAGTGCAGCTTTTGGAGTCAGATGGACCTGAATTTGATTCCCACTTCCACCGTTTGCTAGTTGTATGATCTTAGCTGGTCTTTCTAGGACTCGTTTTCATCTTCAAAGTAGGAATAATTGTGAGGAGAGAAGGTATGTATAGTGCTTAGCACACGGCATTGCACAAAGTAATAAATGGTTGCTTCTGCTGTTATTATTATTGTTATCTCTTCTAAATGGATGATGATGTTTTTAAATCATTCCATTTAAAAAAGGAGACCTATTGACTAGAGAAACCCCGAGAGTATGGCCCCCAGACACCCTTTTAGCTCAGTGGTGAAGCTACCTCCGAGGTTCACTGTTCAGCCTGGGAGTGGACA